TTCTGTTGCCTAAGCACCCCAAGTCCGTGGTACATTGTTACAGCAGCTCCAGCAAACTAATGCACCAAGACACTAAGTTAACGTAACTGGACAGTTGGTGAGTGCTCTCAAACCCTGGAAATATATTATCTTCCCAATGCAAAAAGAATAATGGAGGGTAAATCCTCCAGCCCATTAAGTGGTGTTCCTATCCTAGGAGAATGGGGTAAAGAGTGTAAATCATCCCAAGATCACAAGTTAGATGTTAGCTTTGGGATTACAATGTGGACTGAGAGTCACAATCCCCAGTGTATTTGTTGGACAGTGACCTTCATTAGTTTCAGAACCTAGTCTGGAAGTTGCTTAATCTAACAGGGATAATATTATTGAGTTGTGTCTTAAGACCATTGGCTACAAAGTATGTTGTATGGAAAGTAATTGCTGGCCAGACACAGTGGCTCACATCTGTAATCCCAGCACTTTGGGAGGCCAAGGTGGGAGGTTCACTTGAGGCCAGGAGTTCAAGACCAGCATGGGCAACAAAGTAAGACCCCTTCTCTACAAAAAAATCAAAAAATTAGCCTGGAGTGTGGCGCACACTTGCAGTCCCAGTTACATGACTGAAATGGGAGGATCTACTGAGTCCGGGAGGTTGAGGCTGCAGTGAGCCATGATCATGCCACTGCACTCCAGCCTAGGCTGCAGAGTGAGACCCTGTCTCAAAAAATAATAATAATAAAATAAAAACAAAAAACAAAAGTAAACAAAAAACAAAAAATGAAAAACAAAGTAATTGCTAAGCAAATAGCAAACAAAGGAATTCTGACGAATCCTTCCAGTTATTCCTCTTATATAGAAGTATTCACTTTACACAGTGTGATACCTACCCTTCTCTCTGTTCTTACCTATTGGGCCCTGTATTTGTTTCCTGGGGCTGCTATAACAAATTACCACACACTTGGTGGCTTAAAGTAACAGAAACGTATTATCTCATGACTCTGGAAAACAGAAGTACCACATCAAGCTGCTGGCAGAACCCCACTCCCTCCAGGGGCTCTAGTGGAGAATCAATTCCTTGTCTTTTCCAACTTTGGGTGGCTGCGGGTGTCCTTGGCTCATGGCCACATCACTCCAATCCCTGCCTCCATATGCACCTTGCCTTCTTCTCTGTGTGTGTCTCTATCTAATCTCCCTCCGCTTGTCTCATAAGGAAACACACAACTGCATGTAGAGCCCCCTGGATAATCCCATGCAAGCTCTTCTAAAGACCCTTATCTTCTGCTCAAGACCCACATCTTCTCAAGACCCTTATCTTCTATCTCAAGACCCACATCTTCTGCTACATAAGGTGATATTCACTCTTTTGCCATATTCACAGGTCCTGAGAGTTAGGAATTGAATATAACTTTGGGAGACCTTTTCTTTGTTCTGCCTATTACAGGTCCAAACCACCAGCCTCTTAGGTTAACTTTTGGAAGCTTATCTTTTAAAGGTCATCAACGTAATGTTTATTTCAATGCTAGTCCCAGACCTCATGCAAAACTGCATGTAAGACTTGAAAGACTGAGACTTAAATGTTGACTTGAGTCATAGCCCTTTTTTTATCCTCTTTGTTTATAACATTTAGCCAGGTTTTTTTTTTTTTTCTTTTTTCAAAAGGTGAAAGTATTGGTTCTCAATCATCTTGAGATCTGATAAGGGTAATAAGAGAAAGCAAGTCTTCAATCCTCATTTGTACTCTTTCTTTTAGATTCACCAGCTTTCTGGTCAAGGATATAAAAGCATATTTATAAGATGCCTTAGCCTTAGAAAATTTGTACAAAGCTGTGTATTTTTCTCCTCATTTGCCAGGGCCATAACTGAGCTCTACTTATAAATGTACAGTTTCCATGTTTTCACACGCTGAGAGACTTTAATGTTCATATATTATTTTTCTCTGTAAACCTATTACTGAACACATTTTTCTCTCTTTTGCTATTTTTTTGTTGGCCTCAGTCACCCCATACCTTTCTTCTCTAAAACCACAAAGCACCAGAGAACAAACCAAAGGGAAATAAGAACTTCTAAAAGTATTCCGGAAACAAAAAATGACTCTAAAATTGATCTTACAGTTTTGCAAAAGGTGATATTTGGGAGAAAGATAGTTACTTGATCTAATATTTGAATAAATACTATCTGGCATTGAGCATAATTTCAGATTTGTTACCAAGGAATGAATACATATGTATTTTTTTTCTGGTAATTCAGAGAATGTTTTAAATATGATACAGATATGTAAATGTATTTAGAAGTGTCGTTCAAGACCAAGAATCATTTGCTACACTTGGAGTGGCAAGGCTTTAGAAAGTCAGTGATACTCAACCCTAGCTGTATATTAAAATCTTCTCAGAGCTTTTTAAAAAAATACCAGCGCCTGGACTCCACCCCAAAACAATCAAATCAGAATTTCTGAGAGTAGGGGTATTGTTGTTGCTGTTGTATTTCCAAATCCCGCAGATGATTCTAATCGTGGAGCATATGTTGAGAATACAGATTCAGTATTCCTTCTACCGATGAGGAAATCAAGACCTACGGAATGAGGTGATCTGCTTCCTTTCTGCCTATGGATGTGACCAAGAATACCAAAAGAAAAGGCTGCAAATAAGCAGCAAGAAATAGTAAATAATTTAAGATAAAATTATTGTAGAGAGAAGCAAGGGAGACTGCCAGCAGCAGCAGAAATGGCTCTGTGGCTGCCAAGGGTGAGGATTGTGAAAATGTAAATCCTGCTTAAATCCTTTATCGCCCGACTGTGTGCATACCAGCAAGCCGGCTTTAGAAAAACATATCTATGAAACTGCTTCCTAAAAGTTTGAGGTTTGCAGGAAGCAGGGCAAGAGAGCAAACTCTGAAATTCCAGAACTGACTAGTTAAGGAAATAAAAGCTGGGGAATCTCCATAGAAAGTAATTTCACCGTGTTAACTATCTTTGTGCCTATTTGTGTTGTTTTTAAGTTCTACTGTAATTTGTATATATTCTTATGAGAGTTGGTGAGTTGAAATATTTACCATCTGATGAGAATTATGACAAATTTCCCGTCACCATTTTCCATAGTCTTATTGTCACCATTCCCTCAAACAAAAGAAAAAAAAACTAAAAACTATTTTAAATTGATTAACGGCAATTTTGTAACATGAACTTTTTCCCTTGGATGTAACAAATCGCTTGATTATTACTTGATTCATATCAAAATAGGCTGTAAATTCCAGTTTCTTTTTCTTTTCCCAGATCTCTCCCCTGGCCTGCTATTCTCGGGAACTTTCATCCAAGGTTTTGATGTGCTAATTTGCTCATCAGTACCCACTAGCCTTCCTTGGTTTAATTAATAAATATTTCCTGTTGACAAAGGAAGGGGAAACAGAAGTCTAATTCATGAATTTCATCATTGTGTTTCCCCCCACTGTGACCCTCACTTGAAATTGGTCTTGCGTCTTATCAGCCGCTCCGTTTTAGGCCTTGTCATTTGCATATCAAATATATCTTGGTAAGCAGGCAGCTCGCAGCCCTGGCCTGCAGACAGTTACAGAACCAGCTGCCCACTGGAGGGGCAGGGAAACATCTGTAAACCCACTGTGATTATAGGAGAAGAATGAGAACAGAGGATTGCCCTACTCTCCTCTTCAGAGTCTCTCCTCCAGAAATCCAGGTCTTCTGGTGCCCTGTTGTCATACACTTGGTGTACGTATTTATTTACTTATGGAATTTTTACTCTGAGTATTTACTCTTCTGAAATTAGAATGATAACACAAGATGCTCTAAGCCTTCCATTTGACTTTCTCATCTTCAAAACCTCACCTAGCCACTAAGGATGGTTTAGCGGATCCTGATAGGGACATAACTCAAAAGCATTATCATTACAGAGAATTAGGATACATCAGAATGATCTGACTTTACTATATTAGCTGACTTCAATATAGCTTCCCTTGAAACTATTTTGTTTTCTCTCAGTTAAGGATGGGCTGACGGTGGCTACTGACTCGAATTAAGTCCCCCCTCCCCCCACCTGTTTTTAGAACTTAGGAAGTTGGTTTACAAAATTACTAGCAACATCGTAATTCTATTCCCATCCTTTATGTTTGGCCTGCCCACATTTTTCAATCCACCCCCTTCCTAGAATTCACCTGTTATTGTTTACCTGACACCAGGTGTTTGTAAGATTCCTCAGATGTAATATGCAAACCTCTGGCAGGGTGAAAGATGTTTCAAAGATTTCAGAACTGTGTTCCTAAGTTGTTTGATTCATTTGGCCCACATATCTGAAGAGCGCTTTAGAGATGTGATCTCAGGCACTTGAAAACACAATAACCAACCCAGAACCAGCCCTAAGGCTGATGTCTAGCTTTTTTCTCTTTCTTTCTTTTTTTTTTTTTTTTTTTTGGAGATGGAGTCTCACTCTGTCGCCCAGGCTGGAGTACAGTGGTGCAATCTCGGATCGCTGCAACCTCCGCCTCCTGGGTTCAAGCAATTCTCCAGCCTCAGTCCCCCAAGTAGCTGGGACTACAGGTGCCCACCACCACGCCTGGCTACTTTTTGCATTTGTAGTAGAGACAGGGATTCTCCATTTTGTTCAGGTTGGTCTCAAATTCCTGACCTTGTGATCCACCCACCTTAGCCTCCCAAAGTGCAGGGATTACAGGCATGAGCCACCGCGCCTGTCCTGATGTCTAGTTTTTAAGAGGTCCACGCACAGCCCGAGAAGCAGGAGTAACAGGAAAATAATGCCATGGACTATATTAATTATTTGCTTAGAAGTGGCAACATTAGAGTGGAAAGATACACGTTGGTTTTATTCACTGTACTGAATAAATTAGGCAGTATTGAAAAAAAATTACTGTGCTGCTTTATCTCAGGCACTATTATCTAGTGCACTATAATGTGGTGTAGTAGCAAGGGCACTCCATTTGGAGGCTGAAGATCTGAGTTTTATTTCGATTTTGCCACCAATTAAACATCTGCCATTTGAGCAAGTTCCATTCCACATGTGGACATCCATTTCTCCACTGCAATATGAGACACTCAGATTATATGGACATGCATTCAACTGTGAACCTCAGACTTGTTACCAAGTGCTCCTTAAAAAAGATTTACGGACCATACAAAAGGAGCTTCTCTGCTCCTTATGGAATCTCCGCCTGGTTCAGTCTACCTGCCTCCACTCCTGTCTCCACCATATCCATCAGGGTGACCCAGAAGTCCTACAAGGTGTCCACCTCTGGCCCCCAGACCTTCAGCAGCCACTCCTACACAAGTGGGCCCAGTGCCCACATCAGCTCCTCCAGCTTCTCCCCCGTGGGTATCAGCAGCTTCCAGGGAGGGCTGGGGGGAGTCTATGGTAGGGCCAGTGGCATGAGAGGCATCCCTGCCGTCACAGTCAACCAGAGCATGCTGAGGCCCCTTAACCTGAAGGTGGTCCCCAATATCCAGGCCCTGCACACCCTGGAGAAGGAACAGACCAAGACCCTCAACAAGGTTGCCTCCGTCATCGACAAGGTACAGTTCCTGGAGCAGCAAAACAAGATGCTGGAGACCAAGTGGAACCTCCTGCAGGAGCAGAAGACGGCTCAGAGCAACAAGCACAACATGTTTGAGAGCTCCATCAACAACCTTAGGCGGCAGCTGGAGACTCTGGGCCAGCAGAAGCTGAAGCTGGAGGCGGAGCTTGGCAACATGCAGGGGCTGGTGGAGGACTTCAAGAACAAGTATGAGGATGAGATCAATAAGCATACAGAGATGGAGAATGAATTTATCCCCATCAAGAAGAATGTGGATGAAGCTTATGTGAACAAGGTAGAGCTGGAGTCTCACCTGGAAGGGCTGACTGACCAGATCAACTTCCTCAGGCAGCTGTATGAAGAGGAGATCCGGGAGCTGCAGTCCCAGATTTCGGACACGTCTGTAGTGCTGTCCATGGACAACAGCTGCTCCCTGGACACGGAAAGCATCATCGTTGAGGCCAATGCGCAGTACCAGGAGATTGCCAACGGCAGCTGGGCTAAGGCTGAGAGCATGGACCAGATCAAGCATGAGGAGCTGCAGACGCTGGCTGGGAAGCACGGGGGTCACCTGCGGAGTACAAAGACTGAGCTCTCTGAGATGAACTGGAACATCAGCCAGCCCCAGGCTGACACTGAGGGCCTCAAAGACCAGAAGGCTTCCCTGGAGGCCGCCATCGCAAATGCAGAGCAGCGTGGGGAGCTGGCCGTTAAGGAGGCCAACACCAAAGTGTCCGAGCTGGAGGCCGCCCTGCAGCGGGTCAGGCAGGACGTGGCTCGGCAGCTGCGTGAGCTACAGGAGCCGATGAACGAATGTCGCGCTGGCCCTGGACATCGAGATCGTCACCTACAGGAAGCTGCTGGAGGTCAGGAGAGCCGGCTGGAGTCTGGGATGCAGAACATGAGTATCCATAGAAAGACCACCAGCGACTATGCAGGTGGTCTGAGCTCAGCCTATGGGGGCCCCACGATCCCCGGCCTCAGCCACGGCCTGGCCTCCAGCTTTGGCTCTGGTGCAAGCTCCAGCTCCTTCAGCCGCACCAGCTCCCGAGGGGCGTGGTTGTGAAGAAGATCGAGACCCGCGATGGGAAGCTGGTGTCCGAGTCCTCTGACGTCCTGCCCACGTGAAGGGCTGCGGCAGCCGCCCCCAGCCTGCCCCTCCTGCGGCTGCCCCGGAGCCAGGGAGGGAGGCTGCTGGGAGACCCACCCGAGGCTCAGCCCACCCGCCGGGGAGTTTACTGCCTGGTCACCCCCCTTGCCCATGCCTCCAGCTACAAAACAATTCAATTGCTTCCCCACCGCTCCCCACACCCCCCCCCCCCCCCCCCCCAAAATAAAACCTCAGCTAGCTCTGGGGGAGGGGGGAAAGAAAAAAAGAAAAAGAAAAAAAATTATGTGGCCGGAGAGTTTTTGAGAATCACAGTGTTGCACACATATGTACGCTTGCTCAGAGATTCACAATAAACTTTAGCATACCAAATGCCTCCATGAGACATTCTAATAAAGCTTTACAAGGAACACCAATTTAACTGTTTTGTGTTTCCCAAATATGTTTTACTAAGAATCCTATGTGTGTTATAAACAGCGTGGGCAGCACTGGACAAGATTTCCTCAGGGCCTTCCAGCTCTAATTGGTCCTGGTCAGGTTTGTCAGGTCTGTTTATCAGGGTCCTAGAAGTTAGTCGTTCAAAGGGGACCTCAGGTGGGGTGCCATGGCTCATGCCTATAATCCCAGTGCTTCGCGAGGCCAAGGCAGAAAGATTGTTGAGGCCAGGGGTTCAAGACCAACCTGGGCAACAGAGCAAGACCCCATCTGTACAAAGAACTTAAAAAATTAACTAAGCATGGTGGTGCGCCCTTGTAGTCCCAGCTACTTAGGAGGCTGAGGCAGGAGGATCATTGAAGCCCAGGAGTTCTAGGCTACAGTAGCTGGGGTCCTACCAATGTACTCCAGCTGGTGCAATAAAGCAAGACTGTCTCCAAAAAAAAAGCAAAGGGGAACTCAGAAACCAGACAGCCTGGGTTCATATCCATAGTTTTCTACTATGTAGCTTTGCAACCTTAATCATGTAAATTTAATTTATCTGTACTTTAGTTCCTTCATCTATGAAATGGAGACAATACTATCATCTGTTTCATAGAGTCATTATAAAAATTCAATGTGTTAATGCAACATATAAAATGCTTAGCAGATTACGTAGCAGCTTGTAAGTGCCGTGTGTGTTAACATTCGCAATATCCAAAACGCTTATCTGATGCAACAGCCTGAGAGAAGAAAGAGTGAATGAAAAAAACTGGCATTTGCTGGGGACCTACTACTAGTTTTCATGCCAGATGCTTTACATATGTAATCTCGTTAAATCTCCACCGTAAAACTAAGATCAAAATATAGTCTTTCATTTTACAGGTGAATAAAATAAAGCTCTGAAGTGTTCAAGAATCTGCCTGATATCACATGAAAAAATATTAAGACAAAAAACTGAGTCTCAGATTCAGGCATCCCTGACTTCAAAACTTAAGTTCGTTCTCACATATCACACTGCCTTCAAGAGTGAAAAGTAATAAACTTTATACCGTTTTATAGATGAAGAATGAGGCATATAAACTAAAATATTTCTCAGGATCACACAGTAAGATTTGAATTAGAAAATAATCTACTCATGTCATTCACCTCTATAATGTATTTATTACTGCACCCTAAAAGCAAAAGGACATATGAAAAGGGAAAAAGAACATATCTCTTAATTTTGATCAGGCTACAGCTTTTAAAATTTAGAGTATTTTTTCTTTCAATTAAGCATCTCCTGCATGTATTATGTCACATTTTGCAGAAATTTCGGTCTTCCTTACCTGACTCAGATTATGTTTTTAGAGAAGCATAGGTCTGAGGTAGACATTTAAAGGTCAAATTAATTCTACTGCCTCCAGAAAGAATAGGATCAAAATAATTCTCAAATGATAATCCCTTACCCTATTCTACTTTTAAATATTCGGAGAGGAAAATTCTGTGACTTTGGTTTTTAAAAATTCAAATATTAACGATATATTTAAAATGTCATAGTAGGCAAGGACCTTTGAGACATTTGTGAAAATAAAAACACATTAATCAAAAAAATAAAATGAGAAAAAACACAATAAGAAGATGAATTGATTTACTATGATGGAGTATAGTATTGTGCTTTAAGAATTTCAGGACTAAGGACTTGGGGGAGTAATTTATTGGATATTAATCTTCCGTCTTAGCAGGCAAGGCACAACTTTACTTAGATATGTCTGCTGCATCTAAAGTTTTAAAATATGGGGTCAGAAATAGATCCCTGCCACACATCCCATCCTGCCGTTCTGCTTGGTTCATCTTATCGCTAAAACTGGTTTTTTACAGCAATGTCAAAGATGATAGAGCTTAGAGAGATTTCCATTTTGCAAGTAAAAAAGGGCAGACAGGTGGTGCAACAGCCTGCAGTGTGCTCAGAGGGTGCAGCTAGCTGCCGAAATCCCAGCATCAGAGCCTGTCCGGGGATCACGGGGCATCTCATTGATCAGGCAACTTGCAAAGAACCAAAGGGATGCATGGGCGATGTGTCAGCACCTGAATTCTCCATTTGGGATCAGTGAGTGAGAGAAGGGATAGGGACAGGCACTCTTGATTTGGCTGAAAGAAAACAATCTCTTTCTTTGGGAGTTTATCATAATGTGAAATTTATACAGTGGGTAACAGAGAACGTATTTAAACCTACAGAGCAGATAAAGGAGGTATATCTGCATAACCTGAGTAGAACCTCCAACAGTTTAGATTTAGAAGAGGGGTGCAGAACTACAGGGCATTCTTTGGAAGTCCTGTTCCACCCTTTTTCTTGGTTTGCAGATATGCATTCATTAGGATGTGTGGGCCGTCCCCCTATAATTGCTGAACAGTGCCTACCTGGAAAAGGAACATGTTTTAGCCAAGTTTGTTCTTTGGAAGCTAGTTCTCCATTCTCAGAGAACCACTATTTGCTACAGTGTCATAGAAACTAACTTACCAAAATGCAAAAAAAAAAAAAAAAAAAAAAGAGAGAGAGAGAGAGAAAATTCCTAAGATACTGAGATGTTTGTGATGCAAATTCAAAAAGAATTCTTGGCTCTGGCAATTCCTGCCCTTCTACCTAAGGTTATAATTAAAGGCAAATGTAAAGCAAGGTGTTGGTTGCTGGAAGAACAATGTACTAGAAGGACATTCTGCAATCTTGTTTACTGCATGCAATGTTCAGGGTCTTTCCAGAAGCTCAACCTCAAAGGTCCAGTTGAATGAAAGTGACGAGGATGGGAGTTCTGCTTGCATTTTTCCTAGTGCTTGTTTCTTACCAGTCTTATCTCTGGTGTAAAATGGCCATATCCATCATTGGAGAGAAATATTTCCTATTCGTCTGAGCAAAGGGTAGCTCATATTTATAAATTGCCAAACAGAAATAACCATTCTGAATTTACCCAGGCATTGAAGAGTAAGAGGAGCTAGGAGTATTGATTTCCTAGGCTCTGTTCTTTAAGAAAATCTAGTGTGTGTCATTGTGTTTGTTTTCATTATCTTAGGTTCTAAAACACCCTGTACACCCCTCAGATCATCCACTTCATTTTTTTCAACTTTGAACTCACTGTTAAGATTCCTAAGCATAAGGTCAGGAGCAGTGGCTCACGCCTGTTATCCTAGCACTTTGGGAGGCTGAGACAGGTGGATTACCTGAGGTCAGGAGATCCAGACCAGCCTGGCCAACATGGTGAAACCCCATCTTTACTAAAAATACTAAACTTAACCGGGTATGGTGGCGGGAACCTATAATCCCAGCTACTAGGGAGGCTGAGGCAGAAGACTCACTTAAACACAGGAGGCAGAGGTTGCAGTGAACCAAGAAGCCTGGGCAAAATAGCAAAACTCCACCTTAAATAAATAAATAAATAGAAAATAAAAGAAAAAAAATTCCTAAGCACAAACCCTGCTACTCTTAAAATACTACTTCCAATCATTGCAGCACTTCCTGACTCCTTTTAACAACAACAAAACGTACCAGGGCAGTAGTCAATCAAAGAATACTTATATTAAAGGATGATCTAGGTGTTAATAAAAATCTCTAATTTCTCCTATCTGTGTACACAAGGGCCAGGCTTTTGAGTCATTTGTCAGTTTTCTTGCTTGGGTTTTGTGGTTTTGAGACAGAGTCTCAGTGGCACAATCCCAGCTCACTGAAGCTTCAACCTCCTGGACTCAAGTGATCCTCTCACTTCAGCCTCCCCAGTAGCTAGGACTACAGGCAAATGCCACCACGCCCGGCTCATTTTTGTATTTCTTGTAGACATAGGATTCCGCCATGTTGTCCAGGCTGGTCTTAAACTCCTGGGCTCAAGTGATCCTCCTATCTTGGCCTTCCAAAGTATGGGGATTAGTGGTGTGAGCCATGGCACCTGGCCTTTGTCGGTTAAATAGTGCTGTTTCAGGGTCACACACGCGCGCACGCACACACACACACACAACCCTGCCCCAAATCTCTCTCTCTCTCTCTCTCCAGGTTTCTAAATAGGTATGCAATAGAGAACTCTCCAAAACGCCCCTTTTAGCATGCAGATATGTTTTTCCCCTAGAGGGGCTGCATTTAGCCCGTTACTGAGCATTAGTTCAGATTAGCTTCTCAGATTAGCAGAGCTTCGCCCTGAGGAAAAGGCACATCGGACAGGTGAATTTCACTTCTGAAATTAACCTTCCTGTACTTCAGTGTCTTCCCATTCTCACCTATAAAATGGGAATTATAAAAGGATTCTTTCATTGAGCTATTAAGAGAATAAATTAAACCTATGTGAAGTACTTGGAAGAGAGCGTGGCATGTGCAGACTAAGTGTTAGCTATTGTCAGCATCAAGAAGCAATAACTAACCACATGTTCCAAATTTTTAAACCACACACCCCTATGGACAAAGGTTGAAAGAATATACAATGAAAGTTAATGAACGTCTCTTAATGGTGGAAATGATGATTGCTTCTTTTAAGTATTTCTTCCTTACGCATTTTCCTAAATTTCTTACAATGAATAAGATTAGTTTGACCAAAACAACTTATAAAAGGCTAATTAAGGCTTTATATAAAAGGATGATGATTTGTAT